TAATGTTGGTTTTAATTGTCACTTGACATCAACACAATGATAATTGATCGCACATGAAGAGTAAGGGGGAGGGTATACTCAAAAGTGACATCAAGTTTTTGATCTTAGGTAAAATAATGTTGGTTTTTGTCACTTGACAACTTGGTTATATAAGAGAGAAAGAAAGAGAAAGAGAGAACGAAGGAAGGGAAGGAGGGAAGGAGGGAGGCAGGGGAAGGAAGGAAAAAGGAAATGTCTTTACCTGAATAGCTCTGATGTTGAATGGTCAAGGAAATCAGGAAAGACAGTTACAGGATCAAGGCAAATTCTTATTTTAAAAACCAGTACTGTACAAGAATCTAATACAAAGGGGAAATACCAATACACTGAAGGGAAAGGCCATCCTTCCAAGGAGATATTTTTAATTATCTAAAATATCAAGATGCAATAGAATCTTCTCACGTGGATTTTGAACCATTAGGTTTCAAGGAGGTCAAACAAAGGTGCAACCAGCAAAACTTCATTCTTTGAAAGAAGTGCAAATTGAGACAAGCTGAAAGGAAACCATTTCATTGATCTAAGGGTATCAATAATTCACAGGTTAATGATCAAAAACAGGCCACCCAAGTTCATGTGTAAATCAAAGCTGTGCCACACAGCATTCCAAGGCTCTTCATCAGCATTTTTATACATTGCAATGTAACTTTTATCCTGTGCTTTCAATAATCAAATCTACTGATAATCAGGGATTTGGATGCAGTTTCTAAGAACAGAAACCCAAGTGTGGTTCTAAATTATTAAACATGATTTCAAAACATAAAATGTTCATTTTTCTTCCTCAAAAAAAAAAAAAAGCCTTATATACCTTGTTGAGAGCTAAATGGATGGTATTAAGGTTACAAAATGAGACTGAAAACACAAAAGCAGCTAGAATGGATTTGCTTCTGGTAGTTTTAAGGGGAGTGTTGTGGAGACAGAACTTGGAGTGCTTCAGAGTTGTTGGCTCATCACAATTTGTTGGAAACAAGCAATCAACAGCCTTATATGACGCTGACAAAGATGGGGAATATTTTTGAGCCATTACTTTTAGCCTCTCTCATAGATGAATGGGATATGAGGAAAGAAGTGTGGATCTGTGTATTTTCCAATGACTTACAGATTTAATAAAATAGAAAGAAAACTCATTCATCCTTTTTATGAGTCCCAAAGTATGGATGTTCATAGATGAATTGTAAGAAATAAGGCATCACATCTTTACTCACCACTTTAATTTATTTTAATTGCATGTTTCTAATAGCACATTTGTTTGAATCATTTTTCAGTGTGCTGTTCTTTTTTAGTAGCATTTCCCTCCCTCACTAGCAAGATTCACTATGGAAAAAAAATAACTATTTCTGAAGTACTTCCTATATTATTGTATGAAAAGTCTCCAAGGGTTGTTTGAGAGATAGAAATCAGTTTAAACACACAATGTCTTATTATACATATCCAATTGCTCTTTCTTACCTCCCACTACTTCATAAAATCAGGAGTGTACCAGCAATGAGGTAATAAGAGCCACACCCAAAAAGTTTCCCCCCAAAACTGCTGTTAAGTTACCTACTAGTGCAGATCACATGGTGCGTATCTTCATATTTTTTGGAGAGAACAATTAAAAAAACCTCAGAACAAAAAAAAAAAAGGTTTGTATTTCGAGAATAATCTTTCATTTAAGACTATAATAATCAATTTAATCATAGTATTTACCCCTTAAAGGCAATTTCAGTATAATCAAATTTAAGTTTACAACACTTTAGGAGTATTTGAGGTCTACAAGCCAATGCTGATAACTGCGGGTCAAGTTCAAAAACCAAATAGGAATTGCATTTCTCTGCCCTTAGATATTTCCAAGATCATTAACTTCTTCAAAAACATTTACTGAGCTTCTACTGCATGTTAGGAACTTCTCTAGGAGGTAAAAATCTAGCAGAAAGGTAAGTGAAAAGTTCTCTGCTCTCTTGGAACCTAATAGCACACACTGCACCCTGAACAAATCCTGCCCTGCTATCCATCCATATTCTCTTTATTCCATGGAAAGGCCAATATATATGAAGACCCAAAGGCCACTCAGCAAATTCTCTACTGCATGGTGATAACTTGACTCAACAGAGAGGGGAGCACTGGGAAGGAATTTTAAAAATAATCTACTGGTGATGTCAGCTTATGGGCAAATGCAATAGACATGTTTTGCCTATTCCTCCTGATAAACACACCTAAAAATCCTGGACAGGATTTTTAAAGACAAAAATAAGAAGATACTGAAAGGTGGAGAATAAAAGGCAGGCCAGCTAGGAACCAAGGACCTAGGAAAGTCATGGGAGTAACCTCCCTGAGTTTTCTTTTTCCACTACATGTCCTCCATTTGGAGCAAGCCAGAAATACCAAAATGTGCAGGAAAAAAAGCCCCACCAGAGTCCATCCATCTAGCCAAAGGATCACAACAATGGAATCCGAGCAAGGCAGAAAACTTTTAATTTTTCCTTAAGATTTTATTTATTTATTTGAGACAGTGACAAAGCATGAGCAGGGGCAGGAGGTGGGGGAAAGGGGCAGAGGGAGAGG